CGAAACTTCGTCTCAAAAAAAATAAAAAATAAAAATTAAAATTAAAAAATAAAAAAATTCTTGGCCAAGTATGGTGGCTCACACCTGTAATCCCAGCACTTTAGAAGACTGAGGCAGGATTGCTTGAGGCCAGGAATTCAAAACCAGCCTGGACAGCATAACAAGACGCTGTCTCTACAAGAAAATATTTTAAAAATTAGCAGGGCATAATGGCGTGTGCCTTCTAGTCTCAGCTACTTGAGAGGCTGAGTTAGGAGGACTGCTTGCTAGGATTTCAAGACTGCAGTGAGGTATGACTGCGCCGTTACACTCCAGCCTGGGTGACAGAGTGAGAACCTGTTCCTATAGATAAAAAAAATCTGTCTTTGCACTAATGATTTGAGATTTTACCTTTATTGCATTCTAGGTTGTATTTTATTTTTATTTATTTATTTGAAATAGGGACAAGTCTCACTATGCTGCCCAGGCTGATCTTGAACTCCTGGCTGAGCTCAAGCCATTCTCCCGTGTTGGCCTCCCAAGCTGCTGGGTTTACAGACATGAGCCACCATGCCTGACCTAGGTTTTACTTTTTAGTTTTATTTTTTCTTGCACCCAGCTAATTTTGATTTTATTTGATTTGTAGAAAGAGGGTTTTGCTATGTTACCCAGGCTGGTCTTGAACTCCTGGGCTCAAGTGATCCTCCTGCCTTGGCCTCCCAAAGTGTTGGGATTATCAGAATGAGCCACAGTGCCCAGCCCCACACTCTGGATTTCTGTGGATAGAGTATGCATGAGGATGAGTGTGTTTCTGGACTTTCTACTCAGCTCTCCTGGTCTGTTGTCTGTGCACAGCACCACATTGTTTTAATGATAGAGGCTTTAGCGTGCAAAGCTGGGAAGGCTAATGTTCTCTCTCAGTTTTTCTTTTCCAGTGTTTTCCTGGCAATTCTTGCATGTTTGTTTTTCCGTATGAACTTTAGTTTCAACATGTCTAGCTCTATAAAAAATCTTGGAGGCATTTTTATTGGGATTATGATACTTTTATAAATTAACTGGGAGAACAGACCTATTTTTGATGAGTCATTTTATCCAAGGAAAAGAAATGTCTTCCCATTTGTTCAATTCTATTATTGTCTCTTTCTTGACTGCTGCAATGTATTCTCTCATAATTTTTTCCCTTGGGTTTTTTTTTTCCTTTGAGACAGAGTTGTGCTCTTGTTGCCCAGGCTGGAGTGCAATGGGGTGATCTTGGCTCACTGCAACCTCTGCCTCCCGGGTTCAAGTAATTCTCCTGCTTCAGCCTCCCAAATACCTGGGACTATAGGCACGCACCACCACACCTGGCTAATTTTGCATTTTTAGTAGAGATGGGGTTTCACCATATTGGCCAGGATGGTCTTGAACTCCTGACCTCAGGTGATCCACCTGCCTTGGCCTCCCAAAGTGCTGGATTACAGGTGTGAGCCACCATACCCAGCCCCCTTGGTATCTTATTTTATGTATTTGTAATATCTTATTTTTCTTGAGTAAATTAGCTAATTGCTTGCCAGTTTTCTAAAAACAAATACCTAGGGATTTATGAAATCATTAGGCCTATTTTTCTATTCTGTTGTTGCTTATTAATTTCTGCTTTTTTTTTTTT